TGGAGGTCGATCACTTCTCAAACGGAGTGTCTGAATCCTCTTCAAATGGATTTCTGAATGGCAGCTCTACTCACGGGATAGACTTGGAGGAATGTGATGGAGATATGGGTGAGAACATCAATTGACCTCAGTCTTCTGATAGCTTCCTGTGTGTCTGCAATGAAATTTGTTGTGGGTCAAAGGGTTTTTCCTGTGTGATTTGTTTATCATATCTGATGTTGTGTGTGTGACTTTAGTCAATTATGTTATGCAAATGAATCTTGTGTACCATTTTAAAAGGATTAAATGTTCTGTACACAGAAGTGGATAGTGCTCAGTCCAAGAGGCAGTTGTGCGGAGGGAGCCAGGCAGCCATTGAGAGGATGATTCAGTTTGGCCGAGAGCTACAGAGCATGAGTGAACACTTGCGCCGTGAGAGGGGCAAAAACTCAGCAAATAAGAAGATGCTCAAGGTACTGCCTTTAATATATACACTTGTTCTGAAAGTTGGATTTAGGTGGAGTTTGTACTTATAATCACATATATGATATAAAATGGTCTTCAGGAAAACATAGTATAAAAAGTATTTTGGTTATGGTGGTAATGGCCAGTAAGCATGGAGATGTATGTATATATGTATACATGTTTTATCCTAAAACCTCTTACTGTCTCTGTTCTTGCAGGATGCATTCAGTTTGCTGGCATATTCAGATCCATGGATCAGCCCTGTGGGCTACCAGCTAGACTCCATCCGGAGAGAGCCTGTCTGCTCAACACTCAACAGTGCAATATTAGGTAGGTACCGCATTAGTTTTCATATATTAGAACATTTGTTCTCAATCTTTTCAGGCCAAGTACCACCTTTGATCAAATCATAACAACTTAGTCACCACAGTGATCCCGTTGTTGCTTTCAGAATTAAGAAAAGTGAGCAAAAAAGCCTAAGTGAGCAACATAATGCTGTATTTAGATTTTTTTTTAAAACAGATAAACAGATTTTCGGATAAATCATGGTGCTGCAGATCCCTCATCAGCCCTTTTGTAGGTCTATAGAAGGATCCTGTCACATGCACAGACTGTTTTAATATTTTGCAAATATTACAATGTAATTGCACATTAATATGCAAATTTTACAATCCATACACATTATTTATGAATAAATTGGTGTAATTTTTCTCTTCTCATCTCTCTTTTCTCATCTCTCCGTCAGTCTCCATATAATATTGATGACATGCTCAAAACTGCATCCAGTGTATTTGAGCCAAAAAAGGCTTCTTTTCCTGAAACTAAGCTAGATGCTTATTGTCAGGAACAACAGGATAATATATCAAATTTTTTTGTTGATCACTCATGTTTTTTGCTGGTCAATGCAGCTTCAGAACTGTCTACACTGTCCACACTATAATGTCATTTGTGTATTAGATTATATTTATTTGGCATTAACGCTAGCATTCAAAATAGTCGAAACAGTAATATTGTGAAAAATTATTATGATTTAAAATAACCATTTCATATTTGAATATATTTCAAAATGTAATTTATTCCTATGATGGCAAAGCTGAATTTACAGCATCATTACTCCAGTCTTCAGTATCACATGATCCTTCAGATATCATTCTAATATGCTGATTTGCTGCTCAAGAAACATTTCTTATTATTATCAATGTTGAAAACAGTTGTGGTGGTTAATACCTTTGTGGAAACACTGATACAATATTTTTCAGGATACTTTAAGGAATAGAAAGTTCAAAGGAACTGCGTGTATTTAAAATAGGATGGTTTTGTAACATTATGAAGTCTTAACTGTCCCTTTTAATCAATTTAATGTGTCTTTGGTAAACAAAAGCATAAATTTAGTGGTGAATGGTGGTGTGTATTGCTGTTTATTAGAGCTTACTCTTGAATCTAACAATTCAACATAGGCATTTAGCATTTAATGTTACTTTTTTCTCTCATGCAGAGACTCATAACCTGCCAAAGCAGCCTCCCTTGGCGCTCGCCGTCGGCCAGGCAGCTCAGTGTCTGTCCCTCATGGCTCGCACAGGCAGCGGATCCTGCGCCTTCGCATCAGTGGATGATTACCTGCACTAACCACTGGAAAATCGTCCCTTTAAATTACCACGTGAAAGAGGCCCACATCATCCCGGACCATCCCAGACTCCCCAAAAAAACTGGGGCCAGCTTTGAAACCACAGCCTGATGAACTGAGCCTCCACATGGCCAGACCCATCCTGGCTCTCTGACAAGACTGGATCCTCTTCACCTGGGCCTAAACTGGGCCTAAAGATACATTAGGAAGAGGGGTTCTTAAAAGTCAGATAAAATCCCTAATCATTATGGTTTTTATTTTATTTTTTCCTTTTGTCTTTTTTATTTTGGGGGAGGGGAGGAGGTGTTGGGTGGGGGGTGCAGCAGGCTAATTAATGTTATTATCAGTAAACTTGCATATAAGATATATTTGTTCTTGGTTGAAAGCTGGCAGAGTGAGAGAGACCGGAGAGCTATGGTCCCACAGCGGCAACACCCTGCTATTTTCAGGTCTCAGCTTGTGTACTTTACCATTTAAAAAAGGAAAAGGAAAAAAAATAAATAAATAAATATTGAAATTATTTTAACACGAGGAGTGGAACATTTAGTTATCTTACAGTAAAAAAAAATTAAAACCCAGAAAACCTAACACTGCTGGAGTCAACCTTAGTGGTGGTATTTAGAATAGAACGTTAGTGTGAGCTTGTATGAGTTATGCCCTTTTTTAAACAAGCGCACCCTCCCTCTGCCAACTGCACAGCAGGATTGATGCAATGTTCGGACACTTTGATTTGTAATTGTATTGATGTCTTTGGTCTTTTCATCCACCCGATCTCTTACTCCATCTTTTAAAAAGTCCATATTCAGGCGTTCTCTCATCATCGTTGCCTGCACTGTGTTTTTGTGCAGTTTGGATGTGCGACAGGAACATGGTGAAATTAAGGTAATATCCAGTGGCAAGAGGCAAGCCTGCTCCATTGTTTTTTCTCCTTTTGTTTACCAGTCAATCCCTCGGATCATCAGTACTTTTAAAACAAGGAGAATGGTACAGTATTGTCATCAACACTGTCTTATCATTTTCAGTAATAAAACGTTAATACCCAGTTGAACGAGATATACCCGTCTGTTTTGACACATTTCAGCGAGTGTTTTAATGTTGCACAAGTATTAAGTATGCGATTACACCACGAAGAGCATTAAAAAAGCCAAACCGAGTGTCGTCTTAGTTCACCCAAAAGTGAAAATTGTGTAAATTCTCATCTACTAAAACTTGTGATACTTTGGTTACTCTCTCATTACATAAACGAAGATATTTTTGTTGAAACCTGAGAGGTTTCCATCTCTCCACTTCCAGGTAACCAAAACAAACTGCAGTCTGTAACTTATTTTTTTTGGTTGAAAATTACCCAAAATCAATACTTGAGAAAGTACATGACCAGCCAGTGTTCAAAACTATCGCCTTTAGCCCGATTCACAACGGTTAGCTTATAATAATGTTTTCTAATTTGAGTGGTACGGGTAGGTTCGAGCATGCTGCTGCGTCATTACGTCACTTCTGTAAACATAAAGAAGTTGTCCTGGCTAGTAGGCTATCATGCGAGGATCCTGCAGGTGGCGGATCATTTATAGCCTTTTCTCACAGCAGCTAGAATAATTCATTTTATAATTTTGATGGCGGATTGTAATCCATAAAGGATTATGTGTTTATGAAACACATGTGAATCCAGTTTCAAATGTGCATCTGATTACAGATAGCCTGGGATTACACAAGATTTGTATTTTAAAGACAACCAGTTCGAAGGGAGCATAATTTGCTTTTTGGGTTAAAAGTAGGGCTGTCAATAAATAATTTTAATCTAATTAATCACATCCTTTTTCTGTGATTAATCGCGATTAATCGCACACTTTATGAAATTAAGCATAGACCATTTATCTTGTTTCAAATGTTTATTTTGTCATCATTTGCTATATCCAGCAAAGTAAACCAAAAGATTGAAGGGTGATTCTCAAAAATCTATATTTTCTGCAAGCTTTATTCAAGATAAATTTAGATGTCTTTCCAAAAAAGGACACCAAAGAACCAAATGATATACGGAGCCCTATAAGCACATATGAAAGAAGAAAAAAAATCAGAATTTTATAGTATGTGTACAGTGCAACAGCAAAGAGCTTTTTTACATTTTAGAGAAGCCAAGTTGCGATAACGAACAGGATCACATGGAGATGCCAAAAAAAAAAACTAAACCAACCGCCTGCTGACTGCATATATCTACTACAGTACATGGATCCATTCCGTATAACTAAACACAGCAACATACACATGACAAACCAAAACATTCGTGAATGTGTGTGGAAACAACGTGAATGTACGGAAATGTCTGTGCCTGTGCATAAATACAATGTGCGGATCAGTGCGCAAAGAGCACTCATACACGCATTATTATAACGGACTCACGCGTGCTTACTGTACTGTACGACTCCTGCACGCTACCGCAATCGTCTTTACCTTGATTGCAGTCTTCATAACCATATTTAATTTAGGCGTTTATTTACATCTAAATGATGATTAACACACATCATACATGTAGCAAATCACATATGGTAAACATGGAAGCTTGTTTGTCTGCACATTTGTGAATTAAAGCCTGAATTAAATATATCTCTTCTTTACAAGACTAAACTGCTTGATTCATATTAAATCGTTTTATGATGCCTTAATAATCTTTTTGGATCTTATAAGTTGTGGTTACCTATACTTTTAATGGAGGGACAGAAACCTCTCAGGTTTTATTTAAAATAACTTCATTTGTGTTTTGAAGATTAAGCAAAGACTTGTGGGTTGGGAACAACATGAGTAAATGACAGAATTTTTTATTTTTGGGTGAACTTTCCTTTTAGCTTCCTTGTAAAATGCTGTAACCATAACTTGGCCATCGTAGTCATTTAGTTTAATGAAGTTAATCTTATGTACAAAGTAACCGACACATGAATTGTTCATCTTTAGATCAGGTTTACATTTATTGACGTGTAGAGTAAATATGCACACTTAAATTTACACTCAGCTTCTGCCACTATTAAAAATGTTCCGATTTAAGTTTAATTTGTACACAAGATATAAGCTGTCATTTCTTTTTAAATTACTATCTTATTTGATAATAAGGTTTAATATTTTTTAACTATGAGGTTTAAAGAAAAATGCACGAAATAATTAAAAGCGTCTTTTTGAAAAATATGATCCACATGGTCAAAAACAGCAGGATGATGGAAGCCGCCTCCAGGTGTGACAGTTTTCATGTGTTGAACTCTCATAATTCAGCAGTTCTTTCTCCTGTTTTATCTCATAAAGGAATCAGTTTCTGTTGGCGTATAAACCGTTTGTTGGACCTTGCAATCCTGGCTTTTTGGGAAGCACCTATAAATGAATAAAGACAGCTCAAGCCTGTTGCTTTACAAAACACATCGAGGACACAATGTACTTGCTAAACATGAAAATCTCACCACTCACCCAATTTTTTATTCACAAACTCCACAGCTGCACCTTTGCTCGCACCCCGTTTCTTTTTGAGGGACAGAAGCTCTGCATCTGAAGATAAATATACACACAGGTATTTTGAATATTCAACTGGTCTACAAGATCTGGTAAAAAGAAAGATCTGAACAGCACAACGCATTAACTTACTGGTTGTTCTTTTGGTTCCTGGTCCATAAAGACGGGACTGAATGAAGTCCATGGCCTTTTGTTGCAATGATTTTGCAGCAAATTCATCCTTTATCCTCGTTACTCTGTAGCTGTCCGGTAAACTGAAATCAGACACATTTTCCATATGTACATGTGGAACCCTTTCAGTAAGATAAATGTAAACATAATATTATTATTACCTTTTTGAGATTCTCTTAGGCATGTTCCCTGTCTTCGTCTTATCTATAAAAGAGTTGTTTGTCATTCGATACTGACCAACAGGAAATAAAGTGTAAAGATATACAAGGTTAGGGTTTTTATTGTTACGTTTGTTGTTGTCTGATGGCTTTGTTGATACCTTTTTCTTGATACATTTGTTGTCTGATGGACCTGTCTGTCTAAAATGAAGGAATAACAATCTATTAAGTTTCCAAAATGATTTAAGGAATCAAATGGTTTCCATTTAGCTGGAGATCTTACTTTTGAGGTTCTTTATCAAATTCCTCTAAGAGCTCTTGAGGAAGACGTTTTCTCTTCTGAAAAACAACAGATATAACATTTCATGAGATTTTGACATGTTAAATACACAATTTACTGTGAATTACGTTTAGAGTGTATAAGCTTTTCTTGGCAATAATGTAGTAGACATCCTGAGGACAATACCTTTTGTTCTTGAAACAGCTGTTGTCTCTTTTTTCGCTTCTCCTTCAGTAGGATCTTTTCTCTGAAAACAGTGAAAAACAAAAAGGTTTACCCCGCATACACTCGTGTGCTCTGTCTGAAGCCAGCGGACTCACTCACAGACCTTTTGGCTGCTTCCAGTGCGTCTTTAACGCTCTTCAGAGCAGCACTTTTGGATGCATCAAAGGCGACCTCCTCTGGGAGTTCATCATCACTGGATTCAATCTGAGTCTCTGTCAATTCAGACATTTTGTCAGTCTCTTTAAACGGATTCAACCAGATTTTAGTACACACGTTGGACGGGACTCGCCATATTAAAACGACAACAATAGTAAACGCACATTAAAGACAGGCAGACTAAAGTCAAAAGTATTGGCAGCAATAGATGCCGCCATCTGGTGGTCTGGACGTCTCAGTAATATCGGCTCGTAAACAAACCAAACTGATGCAAATGGCGGAGCCATGTGCTATAACAGCACATACGCCTGATACTGACTATATAAAGATGTCTGTGTTGTCAGATTTGTAGGTAACTCATTCTTTCAGTGCACAAAGATAAGTTGTTATTGTTCTTAATTTTCTAGATTAAGAACAAAAATGTAAACACTAAATAACATATGCTGTTGTAGTTACCGCCATATAAACTATTATTTATACTGATTGTGTGGCATTATTATGGTAAAATCTTATGGTTCCTTACAACAAAAATGTAAATAATGCATTAAATATGCAAATAGTATACATTAATACTATACTTTAATAATGATACAGTACATTAATAATACATTTAAAATTATGATTATATTGATTAAAAATTCTCAGTATTATTATGGTGACATTTTTATGATTCAAAAACAATTAAATGTAAAACAAACAATACGTTTTAATATTTTAATTATTAATACATTATATAATATTATTATGAATACATGTTAGTAATAAAAAGCCATCTTAAAAAATGTTCAGCTAGTGAAAAATAAATACATAGGTTTGTCATGCGATTGGATATATCTGACCAATCAGTGTTTCCGACGTGTTTGTGACATGGGTGCTGGTGTATTTAGTTATTTTGGATCAGGCACCGGCGCAGACACTTTCTGGAAAATCCTTTTCTTCACTCACAGCTCTTGCATATTTATGTGAATATTTAAATCTCGTGTAATTATAGCTTTACACAGACAGACATGTCAGGCTTTGTTGTTTTTGCACTAGTACTCTCATTATCCGCGATGGTGCCTTGTCTGGGCTTTCCTCCGTCAGTATCGGCGGCGCCGCAGCCCTGTCTGGCGCCGTTACAGTGGGAGGGTCGCACCGTTGAGTATGATCACGGCACGGGACGAAACACACGGGCAGCGGTCTCCTATGATGCGCAGAATCAGCGAATTAGGGTCCTGGAGCAGAAGACAGACACACACCATGTAAGAAGTACGAATTCATCAAATGCTATGAAATAGATATTAATATGCGTTCTTATCACTTCAGCAATGTTTTTGTCTTGTTTTCTATCTAAAGCATTCTTAAATCGACACAAATGTAGTTGAGAAGAAAAACGACAATGCAGAAAGCCTTATTTTCTGAAAAATATATCAAAATTAACTATTATCATCATAATCATTTCAACAAGAATTATTTATAATTGTAATATTGGTCATTCAACAACACCACCAAATTTAGGTAATAATTTAGGTTAAAAATGTCTATATATATATACTTTACAAGAAAAATGACGTAAGATATATAAAGTCTCGTTTTCTCAAGATTAATTGACTTAAAAAAAACTGCCAATGGGATAAGAAAAAATATAAACTTTATTAAAAGAGGCAACACGTTTATTTTTCATACCCTGGCCCGCAGATATTTTGTCTTGTTTTTAAGCATAAAATCATTCAGATTTGATTCCGAAAAGTCAGTAATTATTTCTCAAGTAAGTAGCTAAGTATTTATTATTATTATTTATTATTATTAGTAGTAGTAGTAAATGTAAGTTTATTTTGGTCCGTGCAAAATATAATGACTGCTTGAACTGTTGTTTACCATTGTGTTATTGTCAAAATTAGAATTACCACACACAGCTACATCAATATAACATTTTTTTTAAATAAAGCAAAAATTTGCTTGTATTAAAAGTATTTGCATTGTGCAATTGTCTTTGAGGTTCTTTGAGTACATCTACTTGTTCAAGAGTGGAGTGCTTTTCCAAATTGAGGAAATTACTAAGCAGTGTGCAAAGATCGCTCTGACGGAGGCCTGGGACCACTCATGATATTCCCCTGAACTCCACATACGAGGACCAGTACTTCATTGGAGGACCTGGAGACATGATCGAAGTCCAAGAATGGTCTGATCGGAAACCAGCTCGCAAAAGTATGTTTATTATAAGTATGTTTATACCATGTTGTCCTGATTTGCATGGTCTGAACTTTGCACATTTTTTCTGTCTTTCACAGATGAAGCTTGGGTTGGTGTGTATACTCTGAAGGACTGCTATCCCGTGCAGGAGACATACACCAAAAACAGTAGCGTGACCACGTCCACTCGCTTCTTTGACCTTCAGGTGGGCATTAGTGACCCTGGGGTGTTCGACCCACCCAGCACTTTTGCCAATCAGCTCTGACTGAGAAGATGATGTCTGACTGTTGAATACCTCGCTCTGCTTTACATGCACAATATACATTAACCACAGTACAGTAGGCTTAAATAAGCAGCTTCTAAATAAATGATATTAGACTGTCAAAGAGCACATGAAATGAGTGCAGGCACTGTTAAATATAATCAGCTTTGAAATGAACAAAAATGTCAGTTTTAAGTTCAATAGTTCTTGTTGATTTACAGTGTGAACTGTGCCTCATATTATTGAAGCCTCATTTTTAATATGCCAAATTTGGGGCAAATTACAACTGTGTGTTGTTCTGATCTAGGATGGACTAATGTGGCACTTAATTTTTTGTTTGACAGTTAATAATCTTTTTGTCTACTTATTGTTTTATTTAGCCTTTAAGATGATTTACAGTGTGGATGCTTACAGTTTATTTTCAAATGTTGTTAAAGAAACTTCTGGAATTTTGATTTCAATAAAATTGTTTACCTCACTACTACCATTGTTGAGCAAATTAATTTAACAATATATACCTTTTATAAGACAATGTTTTGCATAGACAGAGATGAAAGCATGGGTTTTCTGCTCAAGTCTGTAGAGGTGTGAAATAAAGATCTGGCTATCTATCTCAATAATTAACATTATAAAAGGACATGAGCTAACGTAATGTTATCAAATAATGTATGATAGCATCTTGATTAACTTACGAGAATACAGTGACTCAAAAACTAAAACCGTCTATATTTGCATTAAAGACATTTAACATCACATCTAGCATTTCGCAAAAAGAATAATGAAATTATCATTAGATACTGTAGGCTATATTGTTCAAAATGAAGACAAAAATTATTTGGACACTCATTTGTCCACAATTAATGTGATGAACTACAATGACCTTCCAGTTGATTAAAAGTCAAAAGTTCATTCTGAGAGAAGCTCTAGCATTATTTGTTTGTAGATGCTACTTGGTTCTTATTGTCTTTCTAATTCAATGAATTCAAATATTTAAATTTTTGACTTTTAGTGCAACTGTATGAAAATAGTATAACTATTTTATATATATATATATATATATATATATATATATACATACATCATTCTAATAGGTCTGTTACTGTTATTGTGTATTATATATTTAGTGGATGGTGTCTGACTCAGTTCCTAATTGTACTACATATCCCAGAATTCCCTTTCCAAAACAACATACGCTATTTCCTGTATGACTGAAACGAAAGTCATCAGATGGTGCGGAATTTTTAGCGACACAGGTAGATCCTCACTGCTTTATCGGTTGACTGTAATACAAGGCGTACTTTTATAGGATTGCACAGCAAGGTAAGCGACATGATCGATAGCTCACATCTGTTTTGATAAACCGATGCTAATATGACAAGAAATTAACCTTTGATGTTCTGTAAGTTGACTCGATGTAACCGGATAGATTGTTTTAAAGAGAGATTGTGAGTGTATGTTTATTTCGCTTGTTACCGTTTTAGTTTGCATGACAGACATTTGTGATGTGTAATTATGACACCGTGTTTCAAATTTTGAGAAACTCGCGCTGCTTTTCCTGTTATACTGCTGTATTATCATGCTAGCCCAAAGCATGCAAATTGCTTTGGCAGAACTCTGAAATAACCACGTCAGAACATAAACACAAACTAACATAATTAGTGTGAGTTATGTGCGTTGTATACTTCAGTTTTCCTTATTATAAAAGGAACTAGGCCCATTTTGTATCAACATATCAGCTGGAGCCAGCAATGAAGTCAAATTTCCCATACAAGTTACTAATTATATTGTCAGTAAGGGTAATCCAAAGTTATATAAAGTACAGCATGAAGTTAGTTCACTTCCCATGTATATGTCTTTTTAGGGGAAGCAAATGTCCTTTCTAGTGTAGTTAGGTCACTCTTACAGAGTGATATGCAAACAATGCAGTCCACAAGGCATGAGAATTCCTGTGCTCTGGTTTTTGGTAAATGACATCAGTAAGAGGAACTTGTCCCAATTACCAACAGACAGTTACTGTTCTCTTAAACTTTCGCCTGTTTTTTTTTTAATGATTTTTGGAGTACTTCCTCATGATTTTCCTGATAACACTCACTGGACTACATTTTCATGCCTAGTTACTATTCACTTACCACAGCAGTCCTTGCAATTGTGATCAATATTGAATTGTAACAAGCTTTGTTGATTTTAACAGGATTAGTCCTGGCTTAGTTTTGGCTGATAGCTTTGTACTTCTCAAGTGTCATGATGTAGAACAAGTTGGAACATTGTGGTCTTTTCATCATAATTTTACATTATCCTGCTTACTACACAGTTACTTAACGAATAATTAATATATGGACACAAAATATTAATTTGAGTTAAAAATATTATTCAAAGTGTGACTGAACATCAGGGTTTCCTGAACCAAGTGGTTATTTAGTTTTACATTGTTGTCATGGGGAGCATGTTCTTATTCTACATATTTTACAGCTGAATGCCTCGTTTGACCAATCAGAATCGAGTATCCCAAAGAGTGTAATGGAGGGCAACAGTGCCCACCTACTTTTTCAGCAGCCTTGTTTCTGAAGAATCCGTGTATCATTCGATCATTCGTTTTTTGATTTAATATAATTTTTTGGAAAAAAAAAAAAAAACGAAAAAGGAGCCGTTTTCTCATTTTTCTACTTTCAATATTAAATAAAAAAACGAATGATCGAATGATACACGGATTCATTCTGAAGTATTTTCCAATTCATTTTTCCAAATAGGTCTCTGTTAAAGCATTATAAGCCATGAACCAAACCAACCAACTATGAGAAGTACAACATTACAAACTTTGATGCAAAAAGTAGACAAACAACAAGATTGTCTACTTAACAGCTTTATTGAAGATAAGAACTACAATCCCATGAAGCATTGCAAATGACAATGAAATTAAAACAACAGATGAATATAAAAAATATTGATTTAAAGATGTTAATTGTGTATATAAAACAACATTTAACAATTATTTCCAAATAAAGTGTTCTGTTTTGGTGCAATTTGCTTGTTTTGGTTCTCTGATTGGTGGAGATTTCTTGGAGAATCATGGGTAATGTAGTTTTTCACAAGGAATTCTGCTTTTAAACAAGCTTATTTAAAAATAAGTTGAAATAATGCAGACTGGTGGTTTCAACAAAAGCATATACCTTCAGTCAACAATACTGTAACTCTGTATGTGTGCCTTTAAAAAGTTATTAACATTAACATTATTGTTAAAAATCAATTCCACTTTGGATAAAATGAATGTGACTTTTATATCTGGAACCCATGTTGCACTCTATAATTGGTGTTAATATTTCATCACTTCTTTCTTTGTGTGTGTGGGTGTGTGTTTTATAAATATATCCACTTAGTTACTATACAGGATGTTTAGTGGGTTTGTTGATTTAAAGATGTCACATAGTCATGATCAAATGACAGTAATAACTATAAACCTTTGAACGCTGTGTAAAATGCCTCCACTTTGTGTGTAATTTCAGAACTAGGCATGACCACAGAGTCTGACTCTCCAGAAGAGGGAGTGTGAATGGAGTGACATGAGTGGACGAGTCATGGACAGCCAATGCAGCAGCAGTGTGGGTTCACGGACCACTATAGGGGGTGTGGGCAACATTAACTCAACACCCATTTCTGCCCGTATCGAGTCTTATGAAGGAGGAGAGAAGAAGTGCATCTCTGATGTCCGAAGAACCTTTTGCTTGTTTGTGACCTTTGACCTTTTGTTTGTCACCTTGCTGTGGATCATTGAGCTCAATGTATGTTATAGTAATACATTTCCACTAGATATTATTAATAATGTGAAGTTCTTAGCATCTTTTAAATATATCTGAAAAAACACCAGTGTAATACTGATTTAGTTGCACTGCATTTTGTCTGATACATACATAAGGTTTTAATTTCTTGTTTATCTTTATCCAGGTCAATGGAGGTATACAAGAGCAGCTGAAAAAAGAGGTGTTGGCGTATGATTACCACAAATCTTTTTTTGACATATTTGTAAGTACTGGCATATACAATACCCTCTATTTCTGAAATACTAGCTTATTATTTGAGAAGTGTTTTAAAGTAAATATTTTAGGTCAGTTGGGTTTAGCTGACAAAAAAGTTTGGGAACCCCTAACTTATTGCAATGCAAATACATGTGTGCACAAGTAAACAGGACCTGCTCTTTAAGATGCATTACATTTTGATGCTTTAGCAGGGAAATCACCAGCATTTAAAGGTGTGAATTCTGATGAAACTGGTTGTGGTAAAATTTTAGGGCCAGTCCATCCCACAGTTCCTTTTTCAAAGATGACTCTTATCACTTAACATGTGACCTCACTTATGCTCTTTCAAACCACATAGTTTCTGTCCAGGAAAACAGAGGCCTGGTTTCACAGACAAGGCTTAGATTAAGCCAGGATTAGGCCTGTGTTTAATTTGGTGCATTTAAGTCGTTTTTTTTTTTTTAATGTGCCTTAGAAAAAACATTACTGGTGTGCATCTTGATACAAATCAATGGCACTGACATATTTTAAAGGGATAGTTCACCCAAAAATTTTAATTATGTCATTAATTGCTCACCCTCATGTCGTTTTAAACTCGTGAGACCTTTGTTCGTCTTCAGAACACAAATTAAGATATTTTTGATGAAATCCGAAAGCTTTCTGACCCTGCATAGACCGCAACACAACTTCAACAATTCTGTCCAAGGCCCAGAAAGATAGTAAGAACATCGTTAAAATAGTCAATGTGAGATCAGTGGTTTAACTGTAATTTTATGAAGCTACGAGAATACTTTTTGTGCGCAAAGAAAACAAAACAACTTTATTCAACAATTTAACAAAGAAGGAAAACCTTACAGGTTTGCATCGATATGAGGGTGAGGACAGGATGATCTAATTGAACTATTTAACCCTTTTATCTAGGGGTCGCATGCTTATAAAGTGGTTTGTTTCCTTGATATACACATCCAGTTGTTCTGAAATGAGTGTTTAAAACTTTATTTTGAATTGTTTAAATGTGAGAGTTCCTGCCTTATTGTGATGCTGGATTTTTCAAAAAAGAAAAAAAAAACAATGTTGTTCTTGTTACTTTCTTTTTTTTCAGGACAAATTTGTATTTGGGAAATAAGCCTGTAGACTATGCCCTGTAAGCTTTTGTGTGGCCTAGTTTTATGTTAATTCACAGTGATGCCATTTTTAAAATGCTACCTCACCGCATTCTTTAAACTTAAGAAATAAAGTTTAAATGTAACAAATCATTTATGAAATGTTGATAAACCAGTCCTGAAAGGTTGATACATGTTAGTGTTGAACATGTAAGTGTGCTATATACACTACCATACAAAGGTTTGCAGTCTTTAATAGTCACCAAGGCTGCAAAAATACAGTAATATTGTAAAATATTATTACAATTTAAAATGTTTTCTGTTTTTATATATTTTTAAAATGTAATTTATTCCTGTGATGGCAAAGCTGAATTTTTAGCAGCCATTACTCAAGTCTTAAATGTCACATGATCCTTCCTTTAGTGGTCATGAAACATTTCTTATTATCAGTGTTGAAAACAGCTGTTTAATAGTTTTGTGGAAACTGTGATATTTTTTTCATGTATTCTTTGATGAATAGAAAGTTCAAAAGAACAGCATCTATATTAAATGGAAACCTTTTGTAACATTATAAATGTCTTTACCGTCACTTTTGATAAGTTTAATGTATAAACTGTGTATGCTGTATATATAGAAGCAAAATATAATGGTATTGTATGAATGTTTCCCTCCTCAGCTCTTGGCTGTGTTCCGCTTTGCAGCCTTGATTCTGGCGTATGCCGTGTGTAAGCTGCGCCATTGGTGGGCCATTGCGGTAAGCGGCTTTCTATTTAATATTCCTCCATCCTCCACCAGAGGGCACTGTTGCTTTATGCATTAATAACTTACTGTATTTTTCCTCGTTTAATACTTAACATGAGTTGCTTGCTCAAAACAATTCGACTGAGCTTCGCTTAAACGTATATTTATATGGTTTTATAAGATGTATAGATTAATGCAATGATCATCATATTTCCAAATTTCTTTATTACAGATAACTACAGCAATCACCACTGGTTTCTTAATAGTGAAAGTAGTTTTATCAAAGGTATGAGATGTTTTTCATTCAAATTTTTTTATTGGAGTTTTATACACTTAATACATTGACCAAAAATGTCCTTCTGTTGTCCAGCTTCTGTCACAGGGAGCGTTTGGGTATTTGTTACCCATTGTCTCCTTCATTCTGGCATGGATAGAGACGTGGCTGCTGGACTTCAAAGTCCTGCCCCAGGAGGCCGGCGATGAAATCAGTGAGAATCTAATATCTAATCACAGTGAGACGAGCAAACAGTAATCATAACTATGATCAGTAAAGGCTAATGGACATAGTTATAACTTATGGTGATCGTGATTTGCTCGTACAGTATGTAGCTAACATGTGTGTCCTGTGTGGTAGGGTATCTTTCAGTGCAGAATGCGCTAGATCGAGAGCCTCTTTTACACCCAGGACCCATTACAGACGGCCAGTTCTACTCTCCTCCTGAGTCCATGGCAGGTAATAACTTACTAACTGTTCAGTACTAGCTGGACAAGCGTGGAGATAGTTCTCAGGGCCACATGGAAATCTACAGTCATGTGTTTTACAAGTTGTAATAACTTGTTTTTCTGGTTCTGTCACTTGATAGCTTAAAAGATCAGTGACATCAGCTTTGCAACACTTTGTGGATGTTTATGGATTGTTTATTTTTTTTAGTTTGTTCCATTTTTTGTAGTCATAGTTTATTTGTCACGTGTCACGGTTACATACGAGAGATATAGTACAAACTCGCTACGTTTATATAACATTAACAGACACGTATTTTCCTGGAAATGCCACTGTCAGAGCTCAGGTGCACTGCGGTGAGCGGTAGAGATATTCAAGGAAAATGGTATTTAGAGGTGTTGCAGCTGTATTAAAGTGCCTTGAGAAAATATACCATTTCCTATTGATAAATTGTATATTTTGCTCCACTATGATTTTATATGTATCACATACTAAAATTGGTTATTTGGATGGTAAATATCATATATTAAGCTGGGTGTCCACCTTAGAGGTAATCACCACATTTATAATAAAACCATCATATTTAAAAAAAAAAAAATGATATTAATCATATCATATAATAAAATATCATATTTATTGTTACTACTGTAAAGCTACATTAAATAATTATGGGATTCCCTTCAGTGCTTTTGGAATCTTTGTTTTTTTAAAATAGTTTTGATTCTTGCATTGTGACAATGAACATTTTAATAACAGTATATTTATGGAACAAAAACAAATTATTTTATTCATCACAATAAATAGAAAATAGTACAAACTTTGCTATGATTGTTTTGAACAACTATTAACTTTGATAATATTCAAAACGATTCTAAACATATTACTTTAGCTAAAGTATTTGTATAAAATAAATACTTTGTGCCTTTTGCCTAATGCTGGTGATTTTTTTTTTTTTTCCTGTGGCCCACCTTGCCTCATATATTTCTAAGATGTTTAACTTTTATAATTTATGTTCACACAAAATCTGTTGCTCCATCAATGTTCAATAAAAAACATTAAAAACAAAAAAATTTATGCAATCACTATGGGAGTAGTGAAAAGCACAAAGGTTTGCCTTTAGCCCCTTAATATATATATATATATATATATATATATATATACACATA